GTGTGTGTGTGTGTGTGTGTGTGTGTGTGTGTGTGTGTGTGTGTGTGTGTGTGTTTTCGCCTGTAGATAAGCCAGATGTTTTAACTTCAAGCCAACATATTACATCAGTGACTCTCCGGTAGTAGTTTTAATAGTGGTAGTAGTACACTATCCCACTGCTAGTAGTATAAATGAATGTAAGACAATGCTCTTTTACCTTACAAAGGACCTCAACAGGAGTGGACATCTTTTTTTCTGAGATCTTCTCATACTTCTGCTTCTTTGTGGCAGCCTGATCAAAACACACAGTAAATTAATAACTAAACAAACATATTAACCAAAGCCAAAGTCCAATGGTGAAAATCCTACCTAGTTCCTATCACGACACCTTGCAGACACAAATGGCACTATGCCAGGCCATGGTTACGCTACGTTCACACTGAACGTGTTTGGAGCAGCAAAAATGTGCCCAACGCCTCAAGTTGGACACGCTACGTTCAGATCGGGACAGACTAGGGCGCGTCTGAAGAGGGAGGAGCATCTTGGTTTTTTTCTGGTCTGTCTTTACGGCGGATGAAATAAAGATAAAATAAAGAAAATGGCTTTGCTTTATTTACTTAAGAGCAAGCAAACACCAGATAATTAATTCACCAGGTAATTTAGAGGCGGTCTGATCAGTTAGTTTCACTCCAGGAGCTGCGAGCTGACAAACTATTTTTGTCCCGAGCCCAGTTTAACAAGCTGCTGACCCACTTCGGTGCCGATATCTCCAGCCAGAACACCAACTGCAGACGGCTGATTTCAGCTAAAGAGCTCCTGTCCGTCTGTTTCAGGTTAGTGGGCAACATTCAGGAAACCGTCACATGGAAAAATGAGTCGCTCTGATTGGTTGACGCGGTGAGCAGAAAAAGTTCTGATTTTTGAACTCGAGCGTCGGCTGCTTTGGACGCGCCGCATGCTTGAAAAACGCTCTACCACGGCGCGCTAAACGGACTTGATGTGCCACAAGACCCCTAGAGGCGCGTCCATTATAGACTGTGCATGTAAACCAGCCGCTCCTGCAGCTCAAAACACATTCAGTGTGAACGTAGCATTAGAGTTGTAGTGGAGTTGTGAGCCAATCACACTAGAAGATTGTGTTTCCTTACTCAAGGCCCTGTCACATTAAAACGTTTTAGACAACTAATGTAAACTTGTGAAAATTTTGTGATCAATAAATTACTCAAAAGGATATACAGTTAGCTACATATTTATTTGGACAGACATTTTCTTAATTTAGGTTTTGTACATTACCAGTGAATTTTGAACAAAATGCTTCAGAATAATACAGCTGATGTTCAGACTCAACTTAAAATTCAGTGGTTGAACAAATGATTGCATAGAAAACTGAGGAACTAAAGCATTTGGATGTCTTGAACTCAGGGACATCACAAGATGTTTTGTTTCCTACTTCTCAATGCTCCACCAGGCCTTTACTGCAGCAGTTTCCAGTTGCTGTATGTCTGTGGGCCAACTGGGCTGAGATCAGATGACTGACTTGGCTTTTCAAGGTATTCGAATCATCAAAATAACAAGGGTGCCCAAAGTAGATGAAATTTTATCAAATTAACTTTATTGTTCCTGTGGGAATTTACTTTTGGGCTAAAAGGTGCTCTTGTGCAAATATCTAATGGTAATGTTACAAATACCAACATTTTAAAAGCCAAAAATAAGCCCAGTGATTGGAGTACTCTTAAACCAGTGTGAAAATTCACAACCCAGTAAACATGCCAGGTGTTGAAACATTATTGTTGTTGTTAAGTGTATGAAAAGCTTTGCAGACTAAGCATAACATAATTAGTGAGGATTAACATTTGAAGATCATATTTTTGTTCAGCTCTAAAGAGCTGTAATAATATGCAAGATAAGCTTTTCTCTCTTTCAGCAATGACCTGGTTTCCAAACTTAAAAAAGAAGGGATGGTCATTATAAAATAAACAAACAAAATAAAATAAAAAATAAAAGTGTATACATTTTGACTTTGTAGGACAAATATACCATTTTAAATAAAAAAGAAATACAGAAAAACACAGTTTAGTTTTACACGTGTAGTCAGTTCTTTTTACATACCTTTAAACCTTGCCATGGCAGACTTGTTCTGTTGAAATACATCAGCACATAGCCTAGTGACTCCATGTCATCCCGGCGGCTAGAAATGACAATATCAGTAATTATTAAAGGGATCCCTGATTACTCGTAACAGACATTATTTGATAAACATTTACTTCAAATGTAAAACAAAGACTGTAAAAATACTGTAGGCTGTTTAGTTTTTTGAAAATGCAGATGAAGGACAACAGAGCCTCAGTTTAGCCTGTTAGCTTCTACTTTAGCGCCCATGTTAATGGTGATAAAGCATCAGCAATGTATAAATTGCCAGAAATGTTTTAGTAACATATGTATACATGGCATTAATTCCTGAACCAACAATATTAACTTGGGCATTAATGCTATATTGCCACATATACAGTCCCCTCCAAAAGGATTTTAACAGCAAGTCAAATTCCTTTGTTTGTGTTGTGCACTGAAAACATTTAGGTTTAGGATCAAAAGATGAGACAAGAGTTCTGAATGTCAGATTTATTTCCTGGAATTTATATAAAGATGTGTAAAACAACAGAATATACCATCCTTTGTTTGAACCCACCCATATTTCAAATGTGCAAACCTACTGGAACATGTGACTGACAGATGTTTCTTATTGACCAGATGTTTCCTTAAAGGTTGATTGTTCAAACATTAAATAACTCTGTTTGACTAGTCTACTTTTTGTCCTGGGTTTAAACCTGGAAAATAGGAATTTCTTGATGAGGATCAATCAACATGAAGCCCAGAAAGGTGTCTATGGGAGAAAAGTAAACCATTTTGAAGCTGAAGGAAAAATCAATCGGAGCCATTGGACAAATATTGGGCACAGCCAGTGGTGGGCACTAGTCCCCTGAAGCGCAAATGCGCTAAATGCGGACCTAAATTTCTCCTTTGCACTTTTGGGGTTTTACTAATTTCTTCAAATGGTGTGCGGATTTGCATCCTCTAAATTCAGAACTTAGTAGCACTATTCGCAAATAACGTTACAAATTTGATCGTCAATATTGTCTAAAGAAAAAAGAGAGCCGACTAAACCCACTACGTTCTGCAGCAATATATTTCATTAAAGGGAAAGTCGTCTTTTGTCAACACAACAGAGCTCCACTGCGTGGAAACAGCGACCCCTCAAACAAGCTGAACAAACCACTTTGACCAGCTGGTGGGCAGTAGGTGTGCTATGTCAGTGGTGTAGAGGTATTTCCAGGTGATAAAAATAAGGCCGACTGCAAATCATGTTGTCGTCAAAAACAACAAAGCCTAGCAGTTTAAACAAGTTTTTTGACAAAACATCTAAAAACTACCAAAAATACCAACATGGGCAAAATGACAGTCATAAATTTTGGTGACTGTTAATTTACTTTTTATCGCCCAGGCCTGTTTTAACTAAATATTTGTGAATTAATATTGCCTTAATGGACAGTGATTTAAAAAAAAAAAAAAATAATAATAATAATAATAAATAAATAAATAAATAAGCGAACCTGTAAAACTGCAATGCTAAATGCAACACATTTGAAAATGTGGTTGCACCTAACGTTAGTGCTGGTACACCTAAGGAAAAAAAGTTAGGCGCACTGGTGCAACCAGTGGAACAAGTTAGTCTGCAGCCCTGTACCATTGTTACTGCTGACTTTAAATCCTTCAACTGAAAATGTTTGGTCAGTGAAGTCTGCCTTCAACTCTAAGAAGGTTTAATCTTTTCTCCTGAATTTTTTGAGTTTGGTGAAATAATGAATGTTAACCCTTTCCTTGGCTATATTTCCACAGGAAACATCAATTCGGTATTTTGTTCCTGCGAGTTGTAGTCTGTCGAGAAATAAAAGATTAAATTGAATCTTGCTGACTTAGTTGTGGGCGGGCCTTTCTTGATATCACAGCCCATTTATGGAAGGGATTCTGTTTTTCAACCACCAGCTGGAAAACTTATTCAAACTCCATTTTAAAACAACTTTGTGTTACTTTTCAACATTTGCAACAGAACATGTTTTTTTGTCCATCATATTTTGCTTGATATGCAGTATGAAAAAATGGTGGGAGTAACACTGAAAAAGATGCAGAGATCTTTATTGTAGCGCTCACCTATAGGTGGACATGTTGATTATTTTTCTCCTCTGTATGCAGGCCATAATTACTATGTAAATATCATCTCAATCGTCTTTGTGGTATGGGCTGCAATATGACTGTTACCAACGGACGAAAAATGAAAGTAATTTAAAAAAACAGTTTAAACAGGGTTCCTGCTCTGCTGGATGCATGGAAATGCGGGTTTTTTGAGCTGCGTTTCACAGGATCTATGGGCTTGACCCTTAAAAATTGTGTTGCATGTAGTGTATTAAGTACTACACAACTAAACTGATTGATTTGTTTGATGTTATAGCAAGGAATGAACATGTTCTGCAGCACAGATCTCAAATTTTAAAGGGGCTATACCATGTAAAATCAAATTTTTTTAGTTTTATATCATGCTATAATGCTATCCTCTCATCAACAACATCCAGTCTTAATTTGACTCATTCATGCATGTTTGATAAATCTATAGAATTAGATTTGTGCCTAAAAGATTGAGAAAAACTCTTAGAACTTCAAACAAAAATGAAGAATTTGATAAAAAATAACATTCAAAAAGTCGTTTCAAATGCAAAAGTTACAACCTGCAATCAAAACCTTAAAGCAATACTGTAAAGTCTTTGTCTTGTTTTTGTTAGACAAAATATATTTTTGTTATCAGTTTCCTCTGTTTCATTGTCAGTGATCAGAGCTCTGCTCTCGCTGCCAGCTTTGCAGTTCCGCTGCCTGACAGTGTCTTTTGTGCTCCCTCATTGTTCTTTGTGGGCGGGCCTTCTTTGACATAAACCTGATTGATCTTCCTCATCACAGAGCACATCTCCCCACCCCCCACACGTGACTCCTGCAGGATCTCCACAGCAACAAAACAACTGGTGAAACTGAAACAGTCTGCTGAGCTCCCAGTCCTACTTCTCAGTGCAGCCATTAAGTGTGTTTCCATCAAGGCTTTCTGATGCTCATTTAGAAGTGTCACATTAAAAATGTGAAAAAAAGTCGGATGGAAACAGCAAAATTCGAAAAAAAAAAATCCTCAATAAGCTAAAAAGTTTTTACGCTCGCTTGAGGTGGTTTTTGGGTTTTTCGAAAAACACAATGTGCAAAAGGAGAGATGGAAACACTTTTGCTGAATAAGTTGTGACGTAGCGAACATTTACCTCACGTAGCTGATCAGCTGTTCCCCGGTACCGGTATCAGTTTCGGGTCGGCTGCAGCCGCGACTGGCAGCATAACCCTCCTCCCGCTGTCAGCGTCTTCTCAGTAATCTCACAATAACGTGAAGAAAATCGCATTTCTTTCTCTACGTCTCCAGACAGCAGTAACATCGCCAAAACTAGTTGATAACAGAATAATTACAACTTTCCTGATAGTAGCAACGTGTTCCTGATAACTTCTCTCCATTATCCTGAGATGTGTGGACCCTGTGAGTTTAGTGACAGTTACTTCCTGTTTACTACGCACATGCGTATGACGTAATTGATTCGCTTCAAGCCAGTTGATGGAAACTCCATTTGAATCGCATTTCTTAATTTTTTTCCTTTTTGCGAAATTAATAAAATTAGCTCAAAATCCGAATTAAAATTGGATGTAATTGGATGGAAACACGATCATTTTCAGATTCAAAATACCTTTGAGGAAATGTATTTTCAGATGCCAAGTAAACTATGCCGAGCTTCCGTACCACAGTGTTCTTGGTTTTAAAAACCAAGAAAAGCTCTGAAAATATACTTGTTTTTTTTTTTTTTTTTCCAAACTTTCCCTCACAAACCTTTGTTCGATGCCCAGATGTGCATTGATGGAGGCGTAGCGTGCTGTGCCAGTCAGATTCTTGTCTTCTCTGTAAGGGATGTGTTGCCGTGTTCGATTGTCTCTGTACTTCTTCGCCAAACCAAAGTCAATAAGGAACAACTGACAAAGAAGAAGAGAAAACAGGGTTTGTTAGTCACTCATGCACCATACATACAGTACTCACATTTATACAAGGGAAGGACAGGTTTATGAAAAAAAAAAACTTTGAAATTTTCAGTTGACCCATCTAAGTTTGTGATGTGTGTATTGTTTGGTCCAGCACACGTGCCTATAAGTTTGGGCGAGTAACCAGGGGTTCAAGGTACCTGCTAAGATAATATCTAAAGAATGATGAAATTAGATGTCAATTACAGAATTTAATGTAAAACGTAAAAATGTTGCAGTAACTTTGCATTTTACTGTAACAAAGATCTGACAGTGAAATACTGGTTGTTCTGAGAAAAAGTTGGAAAGCAAGCAGTAAATATAATTTGTCCAACAAAGTCACTCAATGAGCTTTTCTAATTCTTGGTTATGGTATATGGAGATGGGTAAAACCCATGTGAGCAGGAGCCTCATACAGTGGGTCCATTACTCTCCCCAAAAGAGATGCTGAACTTTTAATCAAACCTTCGTGTCCCTCAGAAGAAGGGCACCAGGTTAGAAACACTCAGTGTTCTAAGCTTCTCAGGATCCATAAAAGGTTCTCCAAGAATTCTTTCCATTTGACCAGTCAGGGCCAAGCACTGGCCCAAGTAGTGCCAAGAGTTCATTAGCATAATGACTGTAAACACAGAGGAACTCAGATGTTTGGTAGAACAGAGAGATTTAATAGTTGATATGAAGAAACAAGTCTCTGCGCCTCAGTGGAGAGCTTTAAAGACTAAATTTTAGAATCATATGGATGAAGCTGTTCCACTGGGCATAACGCTGGTTTGAGTGGACTGGGCTGGCACAGACCAGTCTGTCAGCTCCCCCTGTAAAGGCTGTGGGACCTCAGTGCACAGCTCCTCGCTGTGTCGCGCTCCCAGAGCGCAGCAGTGCCAAGCAGCAAAAGGATTATTCTTAGTAGCTGAAGACAGCTGATGAGCCAGTTGTCATGGTGGATCATAAAATCCTCTGTGTATAAAACATAAAATCATCATGATGATTTTATGGTATAAACTTTAAACATAAATTAACAGTTGTGTTATTTTTCCAACACATCAAGATTACCAGTAAAAAGACTTAGACACAACATTCAATACACTGAATTATAGAAAGAGCTTTCTTGGCATTTATTTAATTAATTTGTTTGTTTGTCAAAACAAATGTTGCAAACCATCAGGGCACAGCAGATTTAACAGTCGATGTTATCTACAAAACACAAATTAAGTTCAGGGTATCAGCAGGTTTTAGCAAGTCAAATTTAAGACTTCTTGAGACCATTTTAATACCACCTTGAATGAAATTTAAGACCTAAAATACTAAATTACAAACAAGCATTGTGTGTCACTCAATAGAACACGTTGAATATAAAGATATTCAGTGCTCTCTGGTTAAATTTGCTGTATTGTACAGAAGTGTAGTTATTTGGTCAGAAACATCCAACAAAAATACATCTAAACACATTCATGGCATGAAGCTTAATTGTGTCCTAAAGTGCCTGTGACATGCCTATCATCGAATACAAAAAGTCAAAGAAAACACATTTTTATATAAGAAACCTTGCGTAAAACATAATTTTTACCCATTTGGTCACATAAATGGCATATTTTCTTTTGAAGTTGGATTAGCCAAAGTGAAACAGGAAGTGACATCAAACGTGACCTATTTAAGAAAGAGAACTCTAGTCTTTGTTGAAATTATATTATTTGAACACTGACTCATCTTCATCTCTTTCTGATAGTGACTCAAAATAAACAGAAACATCAGATTCTTCTCTACAGTCTGTGTCCTTAGCCATTTTATCAATGCTCTAATCTCTGCAGACATTCCCCTTTGACATCACTTCCTGATGCTTCAAATGCAAATATCTTAACTGTTCATCTCAGCAGCGGGAATTTATTTTTGCAATTTGTTATTGATGTTATATTTCCAATACTGCCTCTATATTTAATTAAAAAATTTCATGTCACAGGCACTTTAATCTCCAGTTTTGCTTTTATACAAATAGAAGTCATCCAGCCAACTGTCAACAACTTTACACTTGAACCTGGCCCAATAAAATCCAACAAATTTCTGAAGGTGAAGGAAGAAGGATTTGTAACAACTTTTCTTTAGTTTACTTTGATGTAATGTTCGTGTTTTGAATTGAGGGACTCCGATATATTTGAAAAGTTTTAGCACAGGAAGTCCTTTTGTGAAGAATTAAAATTTTTTCCAGTTTAAATTAAATGATCATTTTAGGGGAGAAATCTATCAGAGGGAATATTTAGAGGATTATAACTCATGTAGTCATACTATTTATTTTTCACATCTGATCATTTATGAATTATATTTATCACAGTTTAGTTAGTAGAAGTTCTAAAGATAATAAAAGTTTAGCACATACAAACAGACAAAACACCTCATTATTGTTAAAACATTTTGTAGGATTAAATTGTTCTTCACAAGTTTGAGGGAAAGTTAAATTTAAACTTAGACAAATGTCTTTCCTGTAACCTGGAGTTTACAAACATTCATCTTTTAGCACTAGTACTGTTTACAAACTGAAGAAGCAGCTACAACTTCCCTCTCACCGTGAGAGAAACGGGATGAGTGCGCTCCCGCAGGGACGAGCTCTCTGTCGGACCCTGAGTTTAACTAACAATGATGCTTCGAACACATTAACCTTTAATACAAAGTTAGACTTTAGACACTAAAGACCCGGGCAGGTCGTGGCTTGGTTCTGGAAGACGGGTGGAAATAACAGTGTACCAGTTCAGGTATCTCCTCGGCTGCGCGAACACGTATGTTTAATACTTGGACGTTATTAATTTATTACGTAACTTTACTTTCATGGCAGGGAGGGTGGTTCTAGTAGCGGGCTGAGGTGTACTTCTTGTAAAAAAGTCTGGAGCAACTCTGATTACTTCACCTGCAGTTCTGATTCTGCTTACAAACTCCAGGCCCGCCCTGCTCTGCTCTGATTGGCTGAAACTGTGACTCTGGTTCTTTTTATTGGTTGAAAGCAGCGTCAGTTAATCCATCACAAGTTTTTTTTAATTTTTCGCTTAACAGGAAATGCGTCGAGTAGACGGCCAGGGGAGACAGTGAAATTGAATCACTTCTGCCTGACAAAATTTAATACCTTTGAGTAACAAATTTAGATCAACTTGCACACTTTATCAAATTTACGACTTTTTAAGATCTTAGTCTTAAATTCATAGCTAAAATTAAGACCCGCAGACACCCTGAAGTTACCTACACTGCTGTGCAAAAGTAAAACAAAAGTCCTTCAGTATCAACCATTGCATTCCAGTTAATTTAGTTAAATAGAGAAAATATATAAAAAAGTAAAGTTTGAAGTTTTGCATCAGCTTTTATAATTTTTCAGACTGTATAATACATTTGTTGACTTTGTCTTTCTGATTTTTGGACCATGTAATACAGAATAAAAGCAAGAAAGTACTACTGCTTTAGTGCAGTACAGTTTTGTCGAAACGTGTTCTGAATGAAAAGGAATTCTATGAGGACAAAATTTTCACAAGATCAACAGATGCTGTACCTTAAATCATCCTAAACAAACTGTAGGTAGTGAGACAAATAACACATAAGACTGCACACAGCAGGTGCAACAGTCTTGGTGAATCTTTAACCATGGACTTGGAACTTGTTTTGACAAGAAGTTACATGTCATGTTACTGATGCTGACTTGTTCTTAACAAAAGGAATTCTGACTTCAACTAGAGCTGGGCAGCATTCTGGTTTCTACCAAAAATGATTTGTTTAGTGATATGAACTTCCTGTATACCGACATACCAGTTTTAAGATCCTGAACAACATTTGTAATGCCATGTCCACCAAGTCACTATAAAAGATTTGATTTACAATAGATGACAAAGTAGTAAGATTAGCTATGTTTATGGACATAAGTAATCAGATTTAAATGGCCATTCAGAATAAAAATGCATAATGTAAACACCCCATTCAAATAATTCTGACTCGATTCAGCTCGATCCAAATGAATTTGTAATCGGAATGAGAGAGGTGGTTTATCTGCGTATCACCTGCAGCTTAACAAGAGTGCAGCAAAATCACCATTATTAAAACCTGTCACAGGTCCATTCTGAGCTCAGAAGCTGTTTGTTTATGTTCATCACGAAAGTAGAAGTTTTTTCTGTGTTTTTTTAGGGAAAGTTAGCAGCTGTGCATGTCAGTGCTTCTATTCAGAATAAAAGCCTGGTGCATGTAAACACTCGTCATGATCGGATTAAGCGCATGTAAACCATTTATTCCGATCATTTAATCCAAATACATTTCAATCCTATCAAAGAATTTTGCGCATGTAAACATAGCTACTGACTTCAAAGCATGCAACTCAGTTTGAACAACTGTTTTGATATTATATGGATCTCATTTCAAAATTATGTGCGCAAATTGTTTTAATGTGCATGGGGTGATGAGTGAATACATTTTATGCTCAAAGTCTGTCTAAAAACTGTTTTAAGTCTTTAAGCGTTATTATTGTAATTTTTTTAAGGGGGTAAATTTTCAATGTCAGTTTTTGTTGATAGTCAACTTCAAACAAAGCTCTCAGCACAAGTTGGACAGTGTAGGAATCAAGTTTTAATCTCCTGACAACTGTGATGTACCACAGATCTCTAGACACAAAGCGGAGAGGGTTGGAAAACTGTCTAATGCTGCGTTCACACCGAACGCGATTTCAGCTTCAAAATGGCAGCCAAGGCTGAAGTTGGTCGCTCGTGCACTTTGAGGTCAGACGCAGGTCAGCTCTTGAAGCGCTGCACGGAAAGAGTCTCCCCGCCCCTCCCTCCTCTGTCGGGCTCTGTTTAATGTCGGACGAGGAAGTGGCTTTGCTTTATTTACAGAGAGCAAGAACATGTCACGTTTATCAGATAATTAATTCATAATTAATTCACCAGATAATTCAGAGTAGAGGCTCACAGCTGCTTTCAGGACTATTTTTCCAGTCTGATGAGTCGCTGTCACGCATTGGTGAGGATCAGGACACGACTGCAGGCACTGGATTTCAGCTAAAGAGCTCCTCTCCATCTGTTTCAGGTTAGTGGACATCATTCAGTAAACTGTCCCATCGGGAAATATGTCGCTGCGTCACACAGTGGAGTCTCTCTGGTTGACGCGGCGCGTCGAGCTGCAAAAGTTCAGATTTTCTAACTTCAGCGATTTGCGTCTCAGCGCGTCGAACGCTCAGATCGTTCAAATCGCGCTGCTCCAATCGCGCTTGAGGCGCCGCAGCACTTCCCGACGTTGCTTGAAGCGCGTCCACCATAGACTTTGCATGGAAACCTGATGCTCCTGATGCTGAAATCGCGTTTGGTGTGAACGCACCATAACAGTTAACTGACCTTTTTACAGTTACTGAAGGCCCCGTCACACTAACAGTTTTTACAACTTATGAAAGAAAATGAGTGAATTACTTGCATAGGTTATATATTTGATCTAATCATTAGCATTACAGTATTTGTATGTCCAAAAGAGGGTTCCAGTAGTATTTTTATTTAATCTTCAACATAGACATCTTTAGCGTTGAACACAATTTTCATAAGTTGGCCTGAATTGTCTAAAACTTTACAGTGTAGCAGGGCCTTAATGCACATGCTCTGTGGGTCTAGATAAAACCATGCTTACCTCCAGTGTATTCAAATACACTTAGTCCAAACAGTGTTCATACAGGCTCTTTTAAAAAGGCACCTCAGTCTAGGACTGAGACATGTTCTGGGTTTAACTGGAAACATGCTCCGACTCCGACTGGTCGACGCGCGGTCACGTGGTTGTTCAGCGTTAGTTTTCGCACAGACCTTTCATAGCTCCAGAGACACTCTGCGCCGAGCTCCTGGGAAACCCCTCCTGCTGCAGCATACATCACTGCACAGAGTTCCTTCCCGCTACAGTCGACAACGCAGAAAAAAAGTCAGACACTCACGTTATTTATCCACAATCTGTCCTGTTAGAGCTTCACAGTTTTTATCAGTCAGATTCCTTCGTGCACAACGTCTGTTTTATCTCCATTCGTGAGTTTTTCACGGTTTGACTATCTTTATAAAACTCTGCTTCCTGCTCTGTCGGTTCTGGAAGCAAGTCGTTTCCCCCCCCTTTTTTTAACAGAGTGGTTGAAGTAAATGCAGCGTCCGAGCGCTTTCAGCACAAACAAACATGCCATGAGTTTTTCACGGTTTGACCATCTTTATAAAACTCTGCTTCCTGGTAACAGTCGGCTCTGGAAGCCAGTCATTTTTTTCTTCTTCTTCGTTTAACAGAGTGTCCGAGTGCTTTTAGCACAAACATGCCCATGAACTTCAGACCAATTACACATTACCAATGTCACGAGAGGGGGGTAAAAGATTCTGCCGGCGGGTTGTGCCAAAAGGGGTGGCCGAGCCGACGCTGCGAAGCCCGGTGACGTAATTTTCGTCATGCAACTGCGACAATCCGTGCCGATATCGGTTGTTCGGAGGGAGTATGTTTCCAGCTTTTCTCTGTGTGTCTTCTGAGTGGACTGAGACGGAGACTGGGGGAATGACTATAATGTGCGACTGCACGCTTGCAGGATTAAAAACCTACAAACTAATTTTGGCCAGAGGAAGTTTAAAAAGAGACTGGTCTGAGGAGCCATTTTGTAGAGCTGAAGTATGAAAGAGCCTTCTGTTCCAGCTGTACTCTGTAGTCATTCCAACACCAAGGGCATTAATACAAATTCTTAATGTGTTTGTACATAAGTCCAGGAGTAGACATAAGGATACTTTTCAGGTTGTCCAGCGGACAACTTGTTGACAAAACCTGGTTGTCCGCAAAACTATTTGGTTGTCCAAAATAATCTCCAGAAAAATGTAATTTAACAAGTATATTGTTCTGTAGACAAAGTTTATTATATTTAATTGTTCTCAGTCAGACAGGTTGACAGGATCTGCATGAATAAAACTTCATTCTCTTCTTTGAAATAGAGTATTTAAGACTCAGGGATAAAGCAGCAAAAATGTTGCTAATAAAATGTAGAGGTTACCCAACATTCATAAACTTCTTTCTGCTCATAGGTCAAATATTTTCACTTAAATAGGAGTATACTGTGTACATGACCTTATTAAAAGTTACAGTTTAGTGTTCTGTTCGGCTTTACCAAGTTTTTTCTCCCTTTCATTTTTTCGAATGACCGACACCCGCGGCAGAGAACTTTAATCAAGGTCTTTTTTTCTTGGTTGTCCACCGGACAACCAGGAGACAGGATCTGGTTGTCCAAAATGAAAATAGGTTGTCTCAGACAACCTAAACAATGGTTATGTCTACCCCTGTAAGTCAATTAAAAGGCAGGACAGCTATGAATGTATCTGGGGGGTGTGGTGTCCAATTTTACACATGTGCATTGGTATCTGCTAAAAGGCCAACAGCCTTCATTGTTTTAGACCAAAATGGTGAAATGGTAAATGGACTGTACTTGTATAGTGCTTTTCTATCCAACAAAGACACTCAAAGCTCTTCGCAATACAATCTGTGTCCTCATTTACCCATTCACACAGTACTCTACTACAGTAATCTACTACAATGGTTCCCAAAGGTGGGGTCGGGACCCACAATGGGGTCCTGAAACATCAAGGTGGGGTCCTGAAAATATTTTTTGAAGTACACAAAAAATGACAACCAAGAACATTTTTTTTGCCTTTGTTGTTATAAAATAATTAGTGTACTTAATATGGACAATAATGGCATAATATATAATGTTACTATGCACTTGTTTATTTCATGTGAAAACAATGTTTATCAACCGACAACAGCTGGGGTCACAGAACTCTGCTGCTGGTATTTTGTGGGTCAAAAGCTGAAAAGTTTGGGAACCACTATACTAGATCTCCTACAAAGCTAACATATACAATCAACTGTGGAGACTAATCAGTGCCAATCACATTCATACAATGATGGGACACACATCAGAGGCATTGGGGCGAAGTGTCTTGCCCAAGGACACAACAATTAAGACAGCTGGATGGGAGATCGAACCGGTGACCTTCCGGTTCCAGGACGACGCCCCTAACCACTCTGCCACAGGCGCCCCTATGTGGTAACCACTATGAATGTAATAAAAATGAACTAAATTAATAAAAGGTCTGTATGCATTAGCTCGTGACCAAGTGTGACCGAGAAAGATACTAAAGTCGATACAATAAAACACAAACTGGCCTCTCAAACGTTAATCTCCCAATTTTTCAACCAATCTGTACCTCTGATGATCTCATTCCTAATCCTACCCATCCATGTCACTCACAAGGAGAACCTCAACATCTTCAGTTCTGCAACCTCCAGTTCTGTCTCCTGTCTTTTTGTCAATTTCCTCGTTCTTCAAAATATCATTGAATAATTGAGTCAAAAATCTCTATAAACTCTCCTAGACATTCCCAAACGTCCAATGGTATGTTATGAGGTCCAACTATCTTCTCCTTAATCCTGTTCAAAGCTTCCCAAATTTCATTCTCAAATATTTCCCACTTGTACGGCTTCTTTGACCTCGACTCTTCTGCCTCTTTCATTCTCTTCTTTCATTACATCAAGCTGAATATTCACTGTTAATTTTTAAACACAAATAGAGCTTCATTTTATTTGTGGTGATAGAGCTGCCACCACAACACTTCTGATTTTGCTTTTACATTTGCAAGTCTGTTTAGATTTTATTTTAAAGGTAAAATGAAAATGCCAAAGTTATATATTTTAAAATAAAAAAATAAGATGAACTACAAATATTAACATTTCAAGAAAATCAATGGTTAATAACCATAAATTATTTGGACAGATTACTGACTCACTTTGGAGTCCATAGGGCCTTGATAAAGCACCATACAAGTTCAAGCCATTTACCATATAGTAGAGTTAAGTTGTACTAGTTAGTGGCAGTTCTGTGCCAATTAGCTACATATCAGTCTTGCATTAAGATTCCAACTGTGATCCACTGCATGTCTGTGTAGGTTTGCATGAGGTTTGGTAAGGTGGAGCGGCTCTGGCTGACCGGTAAATGAATGAAAGTCAATGCAAAGTCCCCATGAGGATAGAACAAACGTGTGTGTGACTGTTAACATTAATTACTAGTTTAAATTACACATTTAGGTGATGAAGCAACAGGGCAAAATTTTGTTTTATCAGATACCTGTGATACAATACTACTAAAAATCTTTCAGGTAAAATCAAGTTACAGCTTTAGCTCTTAAATTAGAAACTACAAAATAACCAAAAGGCAAATTATGAAAGCAGATAGGTAATCGCAGAACACAAGAAGCTAAATGAACAATGATTGCAGAAATTGAGACTCATTACTTAAGTGGGGATCACAGCTACAAATGAGAACTTGCAGCCTTTTCCCACTAACACAGTGATGAAGTACATGCATCAACTATAATGCAAGTAGAAGATGGGTGCCAGAGGACTGATTCGTTTTAAATCAATATAGAGTTGCAAAGCGACAAATGCTGTTGTGAGGCAGCTGATGTTGTGGTACAATGTCACACCTGGTGTAATCCTGAGAAAGATGAGTCCTGAGAAGAGCTAACAGCCAAGCTTCTTTTCCTCTTCCCCACTGACGAGTCTAAACACTAGAGCAGACAGTAGAGGGGCAGGGGTCAAAATTACACAGCCTCTATCCACCTTTAATCAAAATTAACATGAGCACAACAGGCACTTCTGTTTGCACCCGCATGACTTAGTGCCTTATGTGCAACAACCAGTGTCCTTTAAAGCTTTAATAGGCACTGATTTAAATAGTGCAGCTCTATAAATTACAACAATCTACTGGAATTATTAATAGGTAGGTGGGGTGGGTGGTGCACCCTTCTTAAGGAAGGGCACTCAAGTTCTTAGGGGGAACTATAAAGATGTAACAAGATGTGTAACTTGTGATAATTATGTTAGATTATTAAAAAACATGAGTGATTTTATCCCATCAGACACTGATGTTACACACAGAGCTGCCTTTTACAAGTTATTATGTAACTGGAATCAAAATAATTTCAAATTATAGTAAACAAAACAAACAAACTGTATGCATAGTAAACTGATGTTTAGAACAAGTGTCCTGAAAAATATTACATAAGAAGCTACAAGACAGATAAAACAGTACAGAGGCTGTGTGATCGGGTTCTTATGCTTCAATTTGCAACATGCCTTTTTTTGTTTTTTTAGTGGTGGAGGTCCCTTTCACCAACATTTACACAAACATATCACAGGAATTGCAGGTGTTGCATAGAGGTTATTTAGATAAAAACCTGTGTTATCGCAAACTGAATACAGGATTTGTTGACAAATTATCTGCTGGAATATGTTCTGTGTGAGTGCATAAACTGCTGCTGGTCAATGTATTTATCAGATGCAAAACAATGCGAAACAAATTTAAGAGATTAAAGCAAATGTTTTTGATGTGACAGCTTTTCTATATTTTCTACGCTAAAACTGTTTTGACTGTTTACACCAGGTAATGTTGACACTCACAAATATCAAATTCATTTAGCACATTTTGGTGCTATACAAATTTCACTTAAGTGCATAACACTTCAGTAAAATATTACATACAGTATAAAACAAAGAACAAAACAGGGAATGGCAAATAAAACATTAATATATATTTGATCTACAGAGGTCTATTATATAACAGGATCTTAAATGTCATTAAAGAACAGAAAGAAATTTGATGCATTTTTAACATTTGGTAAAATAATTATAGCAAAATTAAAACACTGATTTGGCGATTTGTATGTGCATGTGTACATGTTAATATAGATTAGATCAATGTTGTAAACAACTAATCTGATAAATGTAATTTTTATATTATCCAAACATGAAAAACAGTTTATAATCAATTGAAACTTGAGCTAAAACCCTTTAAAATACACTTTGTATAAAATAAACAAATTTTAAGAGAAACATGTCTGTCTAGTAAAAAAAGAAGCAATTTTATGTAATTTTGTAGAGTGTAAAGGACTAACTATACCAGGGGTGGGCAATCCTGGTCCTCGAGGGCCACTATCCTGCATGTTATCTTCTGTTGTTATATTCAATAAAATCTATGCATTTTGAAGAGTGAAATACCAACAAATTTATACCTAAACTTAGAAAGGCTGTACAGTGCAACATACATGTTGCATGTTTGTGCCATAAATGTTATTTATAGCAGTTGTTCGTTTTTTTTTTTGTGGCGGGGGGGTTGCAAGGATAGTACAACAGGTGAAGCCATGGCCTGGTTCCTTAATTATCCTGCGAGGTCCATGCATGTACTATAAATATAACTCATCAACAGTGGAGCTACCAGCATATGCAATGGGAAAACTTTGAACATCCAGATTTGGAACTTTTCACAGAGTGTAGAGTTTCTCTCAGACTGAAGAAGTCTCTTGGAGGAGAGACGAAACGTTTCATTAGAGAAGAACCCGTTCAGAAGACCTATACAATTTTTTAGTGTACTGAGTTATATCAAACCTCCACAGATAGTCCCAGCAGAAAAATACATTCTTGTTTATCCAAATGTGAAGCCCTGGATGACCCGGGAGATAAAGCAACTGCCAAGAGAGAGGAATACTGCTTTCAGGTCTGGGGACAAGGCCCTCTACTCCACCGCATGAACCAACCTGAAGAGGGGCATTGGGAAAGCTAAGAGGGACTACAAGGACAGGATTGAGGAGCGTCTGGACAGTAACAGCAGCAGACAGGTCTGTCAGGGAGTCCAGCACCCCACCAATCACAAAACCAACCATGGCAGAGGTGTTTACTAAGATCTTTAACTTTTCACTGTCTCAGGCCGCAGTCCAATCCTGTCTGAAGTCCTCTATCACAGTCCCCAGACTACAAAAAAAAAATAAAATAAAAATCACCCATCATCTCCCTGAACTACAGGCCAGTGGCACTGACCCTGTAGTCATGAAGTGTTTGGAGGGGCTAGTCCAGAGGCATGTTATGTCATCCATCCTTCGTGCCCTTGATCCACATCCGTTTGCCTTTAGGAAACACAGGTTGAGTGAGGATGCCATCGCTGTAGCCCTGCATGCATCTCTGGCCCATCTCGAGCACCAGGGGAGCTATGCACATCTCCTCTTCATCAACTTCAGCCCCGCCTTTAACACCATTCTGCCCCACAGACTGCTGGGCAAATGCTCAGCTCTAGGGGTCCCAGAATCCACTTATTAATTAAAAGCTTTCTGACAGATCGCACACAAAGGGTCAGGATGGGACCATACACCTCCTCAGCTGTTGCTTCTGGACACAATAACTAGAATATATGTTGCTTGTTTAGTGAACGGCTATGTACCATTAGGGTGGAGGACAGCAAAGATTGGTTTTTTTTTTTTACCAAACCAGGCAAGGCAACATGTAGAGAATCAAAATATTTCAGACCTATCATCCTTCTTGCTGAAGGGAATGGATAGGTTGATAAATTGAAGGGATGGCATTTTAATGCTATCACCTTTAAGGTCTAAACAACATGCATATCAGGCAGGTCTTTCTACAGAAACAGCCTTATATGATGTTTTGCGAAAAGAATGCAATCTGGCACGTCGACAATACGCACATTAGGATTGGGTACCAAAACTCGGTTCCAGTATGGCACCGGGGCGAAGATCAATGGTAGTACTCAAACCGAAACACAACTCTAATTTTGGTGCCTCAAAGAAAGCTGTTAATTGTACCCTCTGGTGTTCACTGTTAACAGTGACAGCCTCGGCACAATCTCCACAGAGTGCCAACAACAACAAGGGTGAGTTATGAACTTTTAATGTGTTTTAACTGTCTAATTTAGCTGTTTCTGTCCGCTGTGTCGGACTATGAGTGGTAGAGAGAACAGCTGTGAGTTAAGTTTCACTTCGAATGGGAGCGCAGTTTTTACTTTTGGTATGAAACCGCACTGTAATCAGCGTGTCCGAGTTGTTTTTCTTTTAAAAAATGCTCGAACTGCTCACAGGAGGCACAGAAGAACACCTGTACTGTTCTCCCTGCTGGATTAAAATAAAAAGCTCTCGGTTCTTTCTCGCTGTTACGTTAGAGCTGCCGCCGTGCAGCAGACAGACGCTGCAGATCACGTTAGCTCTGACCGCAGTATAAAGTCGTGATGCAGGTTTTCATCGGTGTACATTTCAAACTGTGATCTAAACTTAACTTCAGCTGGTTTAAATGCATTTTTTGCCCGGTGTGAAAAAACGGGTGCAGACTGAGGCAGACTATGAGTGCTGCACGCGCGCGTGTGTGTGTCTCCTTTTTCTCTGAGTTGCTCTGACAGTTTTATTTAAGCCTGTCGCTGTTTTTGCATCAAAAATGTTGGAATATTAAAATAGTCATTTTATGTAAAAAAATATATTAATCTGATTAATATACAAATAAAAACTGAATATTTAGCACTAGATAAAATAAAACATTATTTTTTAAATTTTTAAAAAATGTTTTCTAGTTTTAAGTTAATATGTTGTCAATTTCAAGTTTGACTTTGCCTCAGAAATAATCATTGCTTCATAAACCTCTGTGTGACTGTGTGTGTTTTATTTTTATTTTTTTTATGAAATGAGCTGCGCATTACACAACAACATTGTGACGGCTCTTTATAGTGAGGAGGTGGAGCCTCACCCGGGGGTTGCTAGGTATGGGGCTGAACGCAGGTTCCGGTGGGTTGTCGTACGGCTTGTGACATCACAAAATAACTTGTCATTAATATACATTAAAAATACATTTACTTACAGTAAATATGCCCCTGGGTGCATTTTTTTGGTCCTAGGACTGTTTAAGAAGTACATACCCAAAGTTGAGTAAAAAAAGCTTTAAAAAGTGAATTTTGCATAATAGGTCCCCTTTAAATGAAACCAGAGAGCGTTGACAGAGAGAAGGAGAAATGACTCAGCCTGTAACTGAAAATATGGATGGAGGACAACAGAGCTGCTTCATGGAAGAAGAACCTCAGCTTAGCCTGTTAGATTTAGCATTAGCCCCAATGCTATCACCATATAAATGTATTAGCTCAGTGCTACACATTCTCCTCTCATCACTGAGGTCCTCCATTCACATGACAGAGAAACAAAAATGACAGTCTGTAACTGAAAATATAGATGGAGGACCTCAGTTTAGCTTGTTTGTCGTGCTAGCACCGAGCTAATACATAAGGCAATATAGGGTCAGCGCTAGCGCGAAGGCTAACAGGCTAAGCTGAGGTTGTTCTTCCATGAAGCAGCTCTGTTGTCCTCCATCCATATTTTCAGTTCCAGGCCGAGTCATTTCTACCTTCTCCTCTCTGTCCAGTGTTTCTCCTACCATTATACAAGGAGGGGTTTGATTTGTTGAAAGCAGCATGTGTTTAAACCTGTATCAGACTGGCTGGCTTTAACAAGACAACAGAAAACAAGCAGGTTTCTCTTTTCCTCATTTTTTAAAATACCCAAAATACTGACATGGGCAAAATGACGATTATTGTTATAAATGTTGGTGTAGGAACAGTCTGTGGTCCCCTTTAGGCCTACTGGTCTTGACAAGGTAGGGGTGTATACTAGAAACGGTCCTAAAAAATTAAAAACAAGTACACACACACACCTCATTTTGTGCCTCTCTTTCCCACTGGGCAAAAACTACATTCAAACCAGCTGCTGTTGACAATAAGCTTTAGATCGCAGTTTGAAATGTACACTGAAGTAAACATGTCGCGACTCTATAGCAAAGGTGATATGAGAGCGTCTGGTTTACATGTGTCCATGATGGACAGTGGCACTTTAATCCATTACTATAATTAAAAGGTGAGTCGTGCAAATACAACAAGCACCCAAACAGATAAAACAGTGTAATATAGGGCAGAAACATTATCACCCTTTCTGTTTCTTCCCTATTTCAAGCTACAAGAGAAACCCCTTCACAACAGCAACCCAAATGACCAAGTGAACAACACTCTCCAGGAGGTAGGCATATCAATATCCAAATCTATCATAAAGAGAAGACTTCATGAAAGTAAATACAGAGGGTTCACTGCCACTCAAACCTCAAGAATAAAAAGGCTAGATTGGAATTGTATAATTAGCCAGCATAATTAAGGAAGAACAGATGGACAGACGAAACCAAGATCAGCTTCTACTAGCATGATGGAAAGAAAAAAGTATAGCAAAGATGTGGTGCTAGTTGGTTTAGTTGTCCATGCAATTTTTTTTTTCAATTTTTTTCAATTTCAACCGACTGAATTAAATCTGAGTCTGAATATCAACTGCATCTGATTTTTTTTATTAAGTTCATTTTGATAATATACAGAACAAAAATTAGGAAAATGTCGTTTCAGTCCAAATAGATGGGAACTTAACTGTATGTCAAAAGTAGAGACTTCAAATTGTACACCAGCTTTTAAATTGTGTCGAAAGGCCAAGAAAACCTGGAGTTATAATAAATAGTATATTCCACAACTTTTTTTCCTTGAAAATAATTGTCCTATTTGAAAATAGTTGCAGCGGGAAGCAGCAGGAGACACTGTAGTCTCTTGGAAAAAACTCGCCTCTGTTTCATTCCCCTTGAGCCAAACAAACATAACTCCCACACTTCTCCTTTTTGATCAATGTCCAGTCAAGCGCTAAAATACTAAAAACAAATTTACAGGAAGAAGAAAGGAAAAAAAGAAAAAAATGTATTGAAGTTCAGCAAGGATGGAAAGACGGTATAGGACTGAGTAATTAGATTTGAGGGATTGGTGATATTTAGCAAGTTTGGACTTTATAGTTAGGGTGTAGGTTAGGGCAGTACGGTGGCTCAGTTGGTAGAGTTGTTGCCTATAAGAAAGAAGGTTGCCGGATCAAACTCTGGCCTTGGACCTTTATGGGTATTAGGGATGCATCGATATGAAAATTTAATCCGATATCAATAACCAATATAATTATTGCTGTTATGGCCAATAACAGATATTTATCGATATTACACAAATACACAAATTATTTATATACATATATGCACAAACACACTTGGGTCTTTTTTTGATACCGTAAATACACTACCAGACGTCTCACATGGCTCTACTTCAGTTATTCCTGGCCGTGAAGCGTCAATATCACTATCATGATCAAACAGATACCACTCGACCAAACATTTCGCCTCCAAAAAACACAAAACTAAAAAGTGGGAACTCAATAACGGACGTTAATATTGGCCCAGTTTTACATATCGGGCTGATATTCTAAGAAATTACCAATATCGGCCGATAGCAATGTTAATGCTGATATATTGTGCATCCCTAATGGGTATAGTGGATGGATATGGGCACCAGGGACCCCTGTGACACTGAAAGTAAGAAGCCGGTTAAGGTGATGGATGGATGGTAGGTTAGTGCATTTAGTCTTTAGTCTACTTTAGTGTGTTTGAATCAAAACTAGGAGATTTTTTAACCTGGCACTGCACTAAGAGATCAGCTGGTCTAGAGCAGTGGTTCCCAAAGTTGGGGTCGGGACCCACAGTGGGGTTACGAAACATCATGGTAGGGTCCTGAAAAGTTTTTTCTGAATTAATTACACTAAAAATGACAACTGACAATTTTTTTGCCTTTGTTGTCACAAAAAACGTAAAGAAAGTGTACTTAAAATGGACAAAAATAGCGTAATAAATATTGTTACTATGCTCGTTTATTTAACGTAAAAATTATGTTTATCAACCAACAACAGCTGGGGGCACAGGTCTCCACTGCTGGTATTTTGTGGGTCAAAAGCTGAAAAGTTTGGGAACCACTGGTCTAGAGCACTGCTGGCTGGACCAACAGAACCAAGCATCAGTTCTGAACTCTGGAGAACTAAGTATAATATTGATGCAGCCCCATAGGTAAACTGGTTTTGTCTGGGTCGGGATAAGTATGACTCTGGGCTCTGAATACCACCAGGCTAATAATACACTGGGGGAAACCCTGATTATCAAAGGAGGATGCGAACAAAAAGACTGGACAAAGCTTTTCTCCCCTGGCTACACAACAGCAAAAAGAGCAGAAAGAAACCTTTACGTAGATAAGTTTTAAAGAGCAAAGTTAATGCATCATGTTTTATATTTTCAACATTATAACGTGATACTTTTCAATTCAAAGTCTTGTGGTCAACTTTTACAGTTTATGAGTAAGGGGGAGTTTCTAAAGAAATGTTTTTCTAAACTATTCTCTTTATTCTACCTTTTCAACTTTAAAATCAAATTTTAAATGTTTTCATATTGTGTAGGAACCCTGAAGAGTTCATCACTTTATCATACCTACCTTGTTACAGTGACGGCCGATGCCCATGAGAAAGTTGTCTGGTTTGATGTCTCTGTGGATGAAGTTCTTTGTGTGTACATACTCAATTCTGCTGATCATCTGAAGATTAAAAGAAGCATAAAATAAAGTTGTTAACCATCTAATTAGTTCTCTATTTTCAAAAAAGATCACAATCTGCTGAATTATAAAAAAGGTTTGTATTTTCCAAGTTACTTTTGGTTTTACTTTGTTGTAATTATTCAGAGTTCTTGAAGCCTTTTTAGGAACAAATGATGCAAGTTAGCATTTGTAGCACAAATGCTTTCATACTTGGATTTGAAAGTACTTTCATCTAATTGTATCTGTTGTCATCAACTAAACAGTATAAAAATGAATAGCTATTAAAATGTGTATTTCAATAAAACAACATTTTTCTGCATTCACTCATCACATAAAAGAAATGTTTACTCGTTTTTCTTTTCTTTTTTTTTAACCTGCTCAACGCGGACATGATTATGTACAATGATCCACACAAAATGTCAATCAGGAATTACAGACTGACGCTGTACATATTAATAGTAGTTTAATTAGTTTTGTTTTTTGCTGCAGTAGGGCTGGGTGGTATGACATCAAATTCATATCATGGTATAAATTGAATCCCTTCATGGTAACAGTATATATTGCGGTAGAAAATTATCATAAAAAGCAAAGATAATGTAATTTTTAGAGCACTTATTTAGCAGAAAACTGTAATCATAATCAAACCCAGTAGTTTTGCTGAAACAGAGTTGAAGCTAAGTGCAAAGAAGTCATGCACAAGTTTTTTGTACGTTTTAAACCGGAGAACCAGGCTCTGCTCTCCACCCACTGTAGTCATTTTCAATAGCTATTTTACACTTTAAAAGTACATTTAGTTTTTATTGTGTTTTATTTTCAGGGTATTGCAAATTATTTTATTTATTAAATTGTATAATGTTCTTCAGTTTAAAATGTATGTGACCCATTAGTTAAAAATAAATGGGTCAATTTTTCTCATACCTACACTTTTTCACTGTTTGATCAAGACTTTTCTAAGATTTCACACTACAAAACAGGTAAAAGTGTGTGATTCGTACTGATGTGGTATCGGGTCAATATCGGTATCGTATCGGAAGTGAAAAAGTTTTATCAGGACACCCCTAAAGTTTTATTTATATATATTGCAAAATGGTTTCAACAACAAACAAAAACATTTCTCATATTTTCAACATTAAAATAAAGTGGATGTTATAACCAGTACTTCAAGTAATATTAGTCATTTAGACATAAAAACAATTCTAAGTTGGCAGAAGTTGTCTAAAATGTTATAGTGTGACAGGACCTTAAGGGGCTTAAGCTGCACATGGTCCTGTCATGAAGCAATTTCAGATAACTAGAGTGTGGTGAAGCCAATTAAATGTAACATCTGCCTGCCATACAATGAGCTTCTGCCTGCTGAACTGACCCACTACTCTGCTGCGCTCTCATCTTCATCACAGCAGAAGCCAACTTTACATTAGCAAAATGGATTTATGACTGAACGAACATCCACGTCTTTTCTTATCATCTCTGTGGGTAACAATACTTAAAAACTAAGTTTTTCTCCAACAACTTGGGTGTGAAAAAATTATGATTGTTAAAGCTTTGCTCTGTGTGACGTGCAGCGAGAGAGAGAGGGAGGGGAGGAGGAAATGATCCTGATGTAACTTCTCAACAGCAGGAGGGGTAAATTTTGAGGATTTATTCTGTCTATACTTGTTTTAAAACGCTAGAATTTCTTCATTATATTTTGAACTCCTGCTCGGTTGTCTCTGCACTCACAGCCCTGCTGACACAGCTGCGATGATGTAACTGACAACAGGACGGTAGGGGGTCAGTTTCTAACGAAGGCTAACTTCATACCATTTCTACCGTCAACCGCCCTAGCTTGCAGCCAAGTGAAAATGTTTCCTTTGAAAGATCTTCAAAACTGTATGCTCTTGGATACTGAGAGGAACCCAAAGGGAGGAAAAATATACAAACCATCACATTTATTTCACATGGACCAATTTTAGGTTAGTAAAATCCTGTTGAGTCAAAATGATCCAAGAAGTTGTATTTAACAAATACCTTATCATAATTCAAATGAATGTGTGCACAGCTTTTCTACCTGATCTGCCAGCATAAGAACTGTTTTCATGGTAAAGCGACGAGAGCAGAAGTTAAACAGGTCCTCCAGACTGGGTCCAAGCAGGTCCATGACTAGAACATTGTAGTCCTTCTCTTGGCCATACCACCTGATGAAAGAAAATTCAGAGAAATTTATTTATTAAATCTTTGATTTTTTTATAAGATTTTGAAAACACTACATATTTTAATCACAGACGAGATCACAGCAATACATGCATCTGTAGTGAATTGTCAATACAGTGCTCTAGGTTCAATACAAACTTTTATCAAAAAATATAGATTTTTAAAATTTATTTTTATCAACTTGGATGACACAGCACAGCCCATCCATCTTCTCCAGAACCAAGCATCAGTTCAGAGCTGTGGAGAACAATGCTTATGGATATTTATATTGTCCTTGGTGTAAGAAGGCTCCAACTACAGCATAGAGTCCAGTTAGACTCACTTTGCTCTCAGAGTTCAAACATCTTGTGTATTGCTTTAGCCACTGACAGAACAAACAAATATGCAGTAAAAAGTATAAAAAAGGGAAAAAATCACAAGTTCTTAAAGTAAATTCTAATGATAATACAGTGTTTCCCCTAGGAAAATCGGTCTTGGCGGGGGACGACTTGATTTATGAAAACATAAATTTACGCGACTCACCTTCACCTTGTATGAATGTTTTTGTTTAGTTGTTTTTTTTGTCTATTGGCTGTACAACAAATTGCCCCTTGGGGATAATTAAGACCTTGAACTTGAAGAACTTCTGTTTTGTACTACAAAAATATTGACATGGTTTTCAGTCAATTCTAGTATCAAAAACATTTTCAATAAATTTTTTTAGACCTTTCCAGTGTTTCCTGTATTGGTCTTTGGAGGGCTGCTTATGAAAACAGAATGATGATCAGCAGCAGCTTTGTTTTAAATACAATTTACAGAACAAGAAAAAGTCTGAAATTTGCATTAATTAAATCTTATATAGTGAATCTCATATCTAAAGATACATTTAAGATATCTTGAACTGAAGTCTCCATACAACCTAATAAATCTAATGTTATTTACACTAGTCAGAATATAATTAAAGATATCTTAAATGTATCTTTGGATATGAGATTCACTATATAAGATTTAATTAATACAAATTTCAGACTTTTTCTTGTTCTGTAAATTGTATTTAAAACAAAGCTGCTG